CTAGTTCACGCTCGACTACGTCTTTTTTCATCTCTTTTTCATGATCTTTCACCTTTCTTTTTCTTTTGATCCCGCCTCCACGTTTACTTTACAGATCTTCGTTTTTCTCTCTTAATTTCTATCTTACACTCATGTATAGTAGCCCGGCGAGCGTTCGCGCTATTGTTGGAAGGACTCGAGTCCTTTTCACGCACCGCCAGCAGCTCCCCGCGACGAGCTGGACTGGATCGGCTCGTGCAGTATTTAGGGGCTTGCTTGCCTGATCGTCGTAGCTAGTCACATGTAGTTAGTGCCGTAGGGGTGCCGTTCGGTCTTTTAAATTTGGTCGACTCGGTCATGCACCGATCGCGACCGAATGGACCGAATGGACCGAAACTAGGTCAACCCCTCCGTATGGCGTAGCTGCTGCTGCCCGAGTAGTTTAGAAAATCGATTGTGTCATGTGACAGTGGTATTCGTGTGGCACTGTCTTACATTCGCTCTTGTTAGTCTCTCTGTCTTCCGGTTACCTTTTTAGTACCCTCCTCAGTTGTCTCAAACTCGATCAAGTTCGAGTTGACAACAGAGGTGCGCCTCCTGGAACAAGAGTGTCAGTGGCTGCAACGGTGCTGCTGAGGACAACAGCAGGTGAGCACGTTCCTAACTCTGAGCATCATTCGGGACACCATGTCTAACACCACAGCTGCCGACAACCACAACAACTCTGAAGGTATCGCGTATTCATTCTGCACTGGTGACGTGTCGCTTATATACATGAACAGTATTTCACTTGGTTCCCATCGGCTACCTCCTCCAGTATCCTCTGCTCCCAAGCAGATTGTCAGAACAGTTTGTTGCTTCGATGGACTTCTTACTCAAGGCACCTCTGCGATGAGAATTATACTGTGGACAGCGGTAAATGATTGTTCTCCCCGTTGGCGTGACCAACCAAAACGTGTTATAGCCTCTGCCCATGACAATCGCTCGCAATCCAACCGACTTTAAAGTTGTCTTCGTATAGGGCGTGACTGACCCTAATTCCCTTATATTCTCGCGTACTCCTCTATCTGCGCATTTTCTTGTATCAGGTCACGATGCATCCCACCTTCCCTTCCACCTGGCGGCACTCGCGATAGAGCTCGCCGACAACTGTGTTCCATGGAGGTTTGAAAAGCCAAGCTACATTCCCAGCAATTGCATGGAACTTGTCCACATCTCAGAACATACAGGCGATTGCATTGCAGGGACGGTGTTCTTCCGTCCAAACTTCTTTCATCCATTCTTCAACATCATAGAGAAGTGTAATGGTGTACACAATACCTCGTGCATGACGGGAGGACAATATTGTGTTACAGTGAACTGTGGACGACCGCGACTGGGAATTCCAGTATTGCTAGCCACGTTCGAGAAGATGGTGGTGGCATCTGGGTATGTATTCCTCGTCTTACCCTCTCAACAACACATGTTTACAGAGAGCATTGTTGGAAAGTGTGTGTGGGTTTGGTTCGATTTGTAACTTAGTTGGCAAGGACTAGTGCCTGAGAGCGTACAGGAGCGTACATCACGTTGAAAGGTTCCGGCAAAGCACTGTAATCACGATAATCTAATCATGACAGGTTTATGACACAGATATGGCGATGTTATGCGGAGTCTTATTGGCTTGTTTGTGAGCAAGGGAACAAAAGGCGACGAGTTTTGCCGTGCACTGGCGCACGGCGCTACGCAATATATTGACTCAGTAGCCGAGGTCCAAGTAGAAAGTACTTAGGAAGTAGCAAGTAGAAATAAGGATTGGCGCGCCCTTAAAGTCTTGTGGGCATGTGCTGACGTGGCACGCATTTAATATCGGTTCGTAAGTGGGTGCCGAAGTGATTTCCCCCGCTCCTGCATTCAGTCTTTGGGAGCAGCGAGCGGGGGTGCTGCGTAGACAAGGGGCAACCAGAACTCTAATTTCGAACCATAACCTGGTGGTGGTCCACCCCCGTCAAGTGTACGGGGTCCTGAGCACTGCCCCAAATTGCAGTTTTGACCGTCGGTTTTCAAGTGTGGCTCATCAGTACTTATAGTACCCACGTTTTACTACACATTCGTAATTAACATGTATCCCACAAGTTCCCCTTGAAATAACGAAGCAAATATGTGCAGTATTACGGTCTGGAGTTAGCCATCTTGGTGATGACCCCTGACAATGGTCAGATCCAAACAAGGGCAAACAACGCGGTCGCGTTCAGCAGCCGCCATCCGTGAATCCCCCCTATGCGGTATGTGAAGCCAAACAAGGTGACTATTTCACTACATTTGGTGCATAGAACAGTGGCTTATATATCAGGAGGAGCTCTCAGAGAATATTCACTGCTTTAGCTTAGGGAGACGCTGTTGTAACATGTTAACAATAGGGGGAATCGAACGCGTCAAGTGTCAAAAAGGCAGCGTTGTTACCCGCTAGGCCACGGAGCCGTGTTTCGGGCGCCCAAAGTGCAGTTATATGACTAGCTAAGCCCCATTGGGGACCACAGCTGCTTACGTAGTGGTACCCACTCCAGTGCTCGGGGGTCTCTTCTCACGGAGGGTCATGGTCCGGAGTTCTAGCAATGGACGCCCCTTGTGCGTAGAGCACAGGATTCTACAACCAGGCGTTGTGACTACAAAGGCATTTGTAGTAAGCGAGATTTTCCAAGTCGTCGGTATAAAATCCTGCAAATTCCTCTGTGTCCAGGGTCTCTTGCCAGTTTGGCATCATCCTCTTGAACTCTACGGATTCTTCTAGTATGGTTATAACACTTCCCATCAGAGGGGTGTTGCCCGTTACACCGTAACCACCCCCGCGTACGATAGGTAAGCGGTAACAACCCTCAAATGTCTCGTCCACTGGGAATCCTGTGTCCAGCGGCATAGCCACCACCTGGGGAACTATGTCGGCTTTATCAACCTTCATGCAGCGATCACGAATGCAGTCAACATGAAACCACCTGCAACACGTTCTGCAGTATCTTTGCACGTGCTGAGGGTCGTATAGCTTCGAGGTGCACCTTTCGATTCCGCAGAATGCCACGCTATCCTCCTAAGTGAATCACAACAATGATTGTTCACCACTACGCATGTGTACTTGCAAATCACGACTTGCCTTGAGGGCCGCGCTATTTAGGATAGCATCCCCGGAGCGTTGTGTCTTCAGGGTGACGCCTATTGTCCATCGCGTATACAGAACATCTGGCCCAATGTAGAGCGCCGAAAGAAACTTCTCCTTGAATTCAGCTATAGTCACCTTTTCTATGATGTGATGTGTGCATAAGGTATGTTTTAGGCAATGTTCTTGATGACTCACCCTCGATACAATCAATATGGATGGGTGACATGTGATCGCTGAAAGCCAGCTCATTCGGGTACATACATTCGAATACTCTAAAGTTGGCGGAATGCGGAATGAACAAGTGAACAAGGTCTGAAATCCCGTATGGAAGACACTCACCTGTTTTGCTTGTCTGCGGCAGAGCACGGGAGATCTTGTCGGCGATAATACCATATTACTTGGACGTATACATCCTGTCCCTTGAAGTTAGCCAATAGCCTGTATCATATCGTCTTTCGTACCTCGTGAGACTGACTACGCCGTGAATAGCAATGAATATCGTTGATTTTGCCGTACCAGTACGACATCTTAGAAGGGTTTGTTTTGCGAGACAGCACAAGTTCATCCGAAGGTGGATGGATTGAAACGCTGGAGTTTGGGGTTTGAAGATGTAAGATGATGCTCTTGGGCGTCTTTATAAGAAGCACTTACGTGTCGCCAATGAAATAATCGGTAAACGTGCAGTCGCCGTCGTTGTTGTGCATGTCTACGATTCAGCCAATACATAAGATGACGCGAGTTATTTAAAGCACATCACCTACACCTTACAGCGTCGGCATACTTGTCTGGCTTACGGTAACGAATTTGCATGAGGGGAAGCCTGCCCGTTGAAGACACCTGCTTGTCTGAGATCGCGAAGGCTGTCGCGACCGGCACTCGAGGGATGTGTTGTATTGTGGTCGCCCTCGCGTTGCGTCTGGATGTCGGGTTGGAAGGTTCACGTGGATTGGAAAACGGCTGTTTGCTCTGGTGCTGAGCAAGACGATCGGAACGCCTACGCATCTCCAGTCTGGATGCACAAAGGAGCAGGGGAAGAAAGGGGAAGTGAAAGTCGTGAGTTACCTTGCTTGACAAGGTTTCTGTCACCCCCTTTATTGCGTGGGAACGTCGCGCCTGCCACATAAGTACAAACAAAGCTCGCTATTCCAGGTTGGTAAGTAAGGTATAGCCTTTGGACACACCAGTATAACGTCGACGCAGCCCAGAAGTGTAATGCATCTTCCCTTTCATGCACAATGCTATCCATATCCCAAATTTCGTCACCGCTGCCAACACCCTCTTCATCGTCATTGTGCATGTCGATGATTGCACGATCGTCACATCCTCCCTTGCTTTCATTGCCCGCCTCAAGGCCCCGCTGCGCGAGCATGTCGAGGTTCCTGATCTTGGCGAGTTGCACTGGCTCTTGGGCATTGAAGTCAAGCATGACCGGGCAACCCGCACCATCGACCTCTCCCAGCAGTTGTA